TCCAAAAAATTCTTCCTTGCAAGATGCTGACACCCCCCTGCCCACTGTGCTTTCTCCTGGACATCCTGACTGAGACTCTGGGACTCAGGTTTATTATTCCCTCTTGATTGCTGTGTATGTGTCTTATATTTCTCTTAGATTGTTAGAGTGTAAGTAGAATATTAATGTATGTTGATGCTCTACTTTAAGTGAACCTGCCTTCGATAAAATCTAAATGAATAGCATAGTTTCCTTATGTGACTGTGGTCTATTTCTTGGTGTTGGGTGCTCAATAGGCAGCTAGCCGAGCAGTTGCCCAACTGACTAATAAGAAAGACTGTATTGCAGATATATTCACAACACTCCCTCCCACTCTCCTTCCCTCCATCCCTTCATCTCTCTTTCCTTTCCTCCTTCCCTCTCTTCTTCACAGATCACACCGCTTCATGATCTGAGGGCTCTCCTTGCCTCCTTCTACTCCCTCCCCATTATCCTTCACAGGTGTTTTCATCATACTCTCCTATACATCTAATCCTTTCTTAGCATCTGCTTCTCAGAGACTCTGAGCTAAATCATTATTTAACTATTTTGTTTTACATATGAAATTTAGGACCGAACATAATGTCTGAATTTAGGACCAAATATCATTCACTAGAAGAGGGAAGACCTAATAATGAAAAATAAATATGTGAATTATATTGATCAATTAACTGTTGCCCTAAATCTATAGAAAAGTATCCCAGTTCTGAGTAACTTAAAATTTCTAGGGCAAGGCCTTGTCGATTAGAAGAGCTACTGTAAGATCCAAAAGGAAGGAAGTAGGCAAGCCACTTCTCCTCATTCTAGGTTCCCTGGAATAAACTTAGAGAGGAGGCTGTGCATCTAGCAACCATTGCACAGCCTCAAAGCTCAGCTGGGGTGGACAAAGCCCTGAGGTCCATGTTATCCCCTCATTATCTATCCACTCATGCACACAGTCAAGTCCACTGAGCACCCACTATACAACATGTAGTGCATCGGGCCCTGAAATAAGAGAGGTCAGACAAGAGCCTTGCGCTCAAATGGCTCAAGTCAATGGGAGAGATAAGCTTGGAAACAGATCAATGACTCAATAGAAGCCCTAAAATTGAGATATGAATTGATCTGGGAAGCCAGGTAAGGGCACATTCAATTCTGCTAGGCAGGCACACAGGCAGGCAGGCAGGCAGATATTTAAAGTAGAAACTAAAGGATGAAGCAGTTGGTCAGATAGTGAAGAGAAATGAAATAAAGGAATTCCATTTAGAGCAAAATGGAGATATACCCACAAGGTCTCTGAGGCTTTGCAACACTGGTTTCTGCCAGTCTCCCAGCATCACACTCCCCGCATGTCGCCTTGCTTCCTAAGCTGCAGGCACTAAGCCTTCTCTTCTCCCTCCAGTGTGCCAAGTTCTTTCCCACTCATGCTTCCCACTCACCCAGTGACTGACTACCCATCTAGCACTTACTGTGGACCAGGCACTGGGAGTAAAGTAAATACGACAGAAAAGTTCTCTGCTCCACTTGATCTAACAGTCTGGTAGAAGAGACCAGATAAGCATAAAAGATAAGTAAAAGAATAAAAGAATTTCTGATAATGTTTGTGGTAAAGAAAATAAAACAATAATATAAGGATGAAGGCAACCACTTGAGAGTGGGTGCTCACCATCCTTCCTGTAAACAATTAAACCGTGAATTACCATATAACCCAGCAATTCCACTCATAGCTATACTCATATATGGCAAATAAATTGACAGTAGGGAGTTATATAGCCATGTTCATAGCAGCCCAAAAGTGAAAGCAGCCCAAGTGTCCATCAGTGGATGAATAGATGAACAAAGAGTATATACATGCAATGGAATATTATTTAGCCTTAAAAAGGAAAAAATTCTAACACATGCTACAACATGGATGAACCTTGAAGAGTAACATCTCGCCACTCAAAATAAACCAGTTATAAAATGACAAATACTGGATCATTCCACTTAGATACTTAAAGTAACCAGACTCACAGAGGAAGGAAGTTGAACAGTGGCTGCTGGGGGCTGGATACTGGGGGCAGGGTACAATTTTAGTTGCACCATGATGTGAATATCAGTGAACAGAACTGTTCAATGAAAAACGACACGTTTCTAAGAGGAATCCAAAATCTGGAAACAGTTTAGCTGGGAAATTTTAGGTTTGGTCTCTCATAAGGCTAAACCCTACACTAAACTGTATGTACACTGAAAAATGGTTGAAGTGGTCAATGTTAAGTATATTTCACCACAATTAAAAATATAAGAATGGCATTATTTGTGACAAATTCTATTGGCTGGAAGTGACTAAAAGAACTAGCCCACACTCAAGGAGAGATTAATTAAATTCTACTTCATGAGAGGAGGAACAAAGAGTTCATGGATGCATTTTGAAAACTGCCACACCCTTTAAAAACTTCCATTCCAAAATAGACGTAATTGGTATAAAGAGAGAAAAATACGCAAACTCCTTTAACAAAGTACTCACAAACTACTTCAGTGGGTGGACTTCATGCAAAGGCTGACCTTGGAAGGCAGAGACAAGTTTGTATTCTTATGTTGCCACTTAGTGCTTGGCTTTTATTTATGTGTATCCATAGGACTTGATCGAAATCTTAATTGTTTTCCTACAGAGAATAAAATACTGATAAAGAAGTCAGCATACATATAAAATATTTCATCCAAACTCAATGAGATATTATTCTTTTAGAAAGAAAACTTGATGTTTAATACTTTCAGTTCAAATATAAATGTCTATGAGATAAAGTGTGTGGCAAAATGGCTGTAACTGATAAATACTACAAGGACTATCAAGGACTATAAACCCGCAACAGATTTATGGCTTAGAACCAGCAAAAGACAAGCTCAATTCAACGTGGCAACTAATTTTACTTTGATATAACTCTGAGCCTCATTATACGGTCATTGTAATACATTAGCATACAAAGTGACACACCCATGTCACCATGACTGGCAGTGGAAAGCCCACATAAAGACACAGTGTGGCCAAGAACCCTTGGTGGGTCGCAGACCTTCAGATCCCCAGCCCCCAGAATACCTGCATCATCTCAAGGACTGCATTTAAAGTTGTAGCCACACAATGTTTGTAATCGGCATTTTTGTTGAATTGCTCGGGTATTTAGAGAACATATTCAAGAGGCTTCTTAGTGGATGGATCCCCCTGTGATCTCTGTGCATTCACACCTGGGCCTTTCACTCACAGAATGGAATGGGGTTGGTCTCCGGCCTAGGAGGTCCTAGGAAAGTTGTGGCTGATGATAAGCACTGTCAGTAGACTCAACTGCCAATTGTCTTACTAACACCCTTAAAATTTTGTGCCAGATCATAATCGAATAGAAAGCACTTAAAAGACAGCATCTCCACTTCTTTTCACAGTCATGTGCTAACATACTGTGTGCTTTTCTGTTTTTTTCTTTTTTGTTTTTTTCTTACTTAACATGCATGCTTCAAATAAGTTCTTTTAAGTAGCTTAATTTGGTCTGTGTATAATGAGTATTTTATTTTTCTCTCTGATTATTCATTTATGTCTTCTTACACTCCTTCTGATGAGAGACGAACCCATTTGTAATTTAACCTACCACACTACATAGGCTTTTTGGGTAATATACACGTTTTCCTTCCTCTTCTTTTTCTTTCCCCAGAGAATATTACAGAAGACCTGTAGTTATTTCTCAACTTTAGGCAGCTGTTTTCCAGGGAACAAATCAGCAAGAGAATAAACTTTAAAAAAAAAAAAAGGATCAGCACCTTCTCTCTCGCCTTTTATTTTTTTTTATTTGTTACTTGACATGCTTGTGGTTAAACTTCCTTCAGGAGACAACAGAAGTTTATGAAAGGAATTGCACTTAAATTACAGCTAATTTTTACTGACTGAGCTTTCCATATATCAGGGGCTTTCTGCTATTGCATACTTTCCCCAGCTCATTTCTTGTTCAAAATTCCTCCCTTCCCCTTCATAACTCCTCTCCTCCTCCTCCCCCTCTCCCTCCCCTAACCCCTTGCTTTCTCTAATGGGCTAAAGGAGTTGATCTTTCCACGAGTGTTTCCATTTGGGATGGGTACCAACAGTTCTACCCATGAAGGTTACCTCTACTGCTCAGTAATTGCCACAGTTTCTCTGCCTTCCTTCCATTCCCGTATAAGCACAGGTGCCTGTAGTTTGGGAGATTTATTTCTTTTGTTTTTGTTGGGGGGGCTGGGGACAGCTGGGAGATGTCATTTTATCTGAGGGAAATTTTCTTATGGGTATTTTTAACTTTCCTGCCAGTGGAGGAAAAAAACAAGAGTTAGATTAAGTAAAAACCAAAAAATTAAAAAATTACTGGCAATGAATTGCAGCTCAAATGACCAGGGTTGTTCCCTGACATCCCATGTTGCTCAGCACATGCGAGATTTGTACTGTGTAAGTGACCTAACCCCTCAGTCTCCAAGTTCGCTTTCCTGTATCGCTAAGCCTTCATTTCTTTCCTGTATCGCTAAGCCTCCATTTAATTTCTTATTTTATTACATTAGTTCAATAATAACCAACAATCAGAGGGCTCTCAAAAATTGTACCATATCTAAGAGTTTTCTATAAAAGTCTGTGTGCTATTGCTTTCAGTACAGTGAAGCAAATAATGTTTAGATTTGTGTTTCTCCCAGAAAGCTGACTCTGAAATGATGAGTGTGCAGGACATTTATGGAGTGCCCCTGTGTCTCACCTGAGGAAGGGCAAGAAGAGCAGGAACCGGATCTGGGTAGGTGTGAAGATGGCTAGGATGAAGTCTTCACAAAAGCTCCAGGTGCCCCACAGAGAACTCTGCACCTGGATGGTCCCATCTGAGTGAGTCGCTGGAGTGGGCCACACTGAAAAGGGCGCCCAGCCTTGGGCGAGGCACTCCTTTTCAGACGAGGTTGATTCACAAGAAGCCAACAGCAGAGAGCTGGCTGCCGGCAGCCCTCTCACAGCTGGGGGACTAAGGTCTTTATTCCTGAAGGGGGTCCAGGCGGTGCACTACACACTGCAGGACAGTCAGGATGTCCTTTTGCAGGAACACACCACAGTGTGAGTCTGAAAGTGGAGAGTTCACAGAAACCTGTGATAGATCTCCATTAGACAGAAGCCCCTTGCCTCGGAGCTGGTCCATGGCTACCAAGCAAGCTCTGACCTTAACCAGCAGAGAAAAAAAGAGTAGAGGAGGAAGTTTATGTTCACTCCACCCCCAAATCTCCTTCATTATTCCATCTTGGGAGGATGGCAACTCAGGTGACAACCCTAACCTAAACCTCCCAGGGCAGGAGAAGAGTTGGATTTTCAGCTGGGTCTCTGACAGATCTGCACTTATACCTCCTCTGATCATATTCCTGCCCTCAAATTTCAACCCAACAAATCGCCTTCCCCATACTGACATCCTGCTTCCTGTGTATTTGTGCTAACCTGAAAATGGGACCCACGGTGAGGAAGGCGTGACTTCTCTGGAACGGTAACTTCCCCACTCCACGTTTCCCCTCCCCCTTCCAGGTAACTCCGAGCCCAGCACCCTTTCCGTGTGGGACCACGCTGAGCTCCCCCTCCATGTTCGGCAGAACCCCAGCACGAAGCCTTCTAATGCTGTTTCAGAGAAGAAGGTGTTACAAGTGGGCACTACTGGCTGATATTCTGAAACAATTTGGGATAAACTCACAAAGATAACTAAAAGAATAAGACAATTTTTCTTAACCATGTCAAATCACTCTTTTTTGTTAGAGAGAATGTATTCATATTTCCCTTCGAAGTTTTCTTTCAGAGTTGAGCTTTGTAAAGAGGCATATTAAAGCATATTATTGGTTCTGTGACTTTTTTATATTTACAGAAGAAATTTTTACATTATAGCTATTTGAATTTTTTGGCTTGAATACTGAATAACAGTATATCACAGCCATTTCAGCCTGACTAGAATAAAATAGAGTTTTATGTGTGTACAATGCAAAAATAGCAGACATGGGTGTGTAAGAAGGAGGGGGCATGAGTTCAGATCCTTTTGTATGTTCTTGGCTAAGTAGGAAATTTAGAGGACTTGATAGACTTTCGATGAAATAAAACATATAATGCTGAAATCAAGACTTTCTTCTATTATAAAAAGAATTTTAAAGTAATGAGAAAGAAAAATCTTGAAGCCAGGCAGTAAAAGACAAATACCATATGATTTTACCTTTAACAGGAATCTAATCGACAAAGCAAACAAGCAAAATATAACCAAAGACACTGAAACTGAGAACAGGCTGACAGTGACCAGAGGGGAGGGAATTTCAGGGGCAGGGGGAAGGGTTTGCAGGAACTAGTATAAAGGACACGTGGACAATAACAAGGGGTGGGGTGGAGTCGGAAGGGAGGTAGAGAGGGCTGTGGGTAAAGGGCAGAAAACTGTACTTGAACAACAATTAGAATTAAAAAAATTATAAATAAAAAAGAAAGAAAAATCTTGGAGAGCAGGTACTACATGATATATGAAGAAGAAATAAAACAAAGCAAATCAGTAAGCTATGCAAAGGGGTCTCCTAAAGAAAAAAGAGGGAAAAGAAGAAATCCCCTGGAGGCATCAGATTAATCTCTGAACTCTAATTCACAAAGTGATTTGAATTTCTGGCTGCTTCTGAGAGGACACATCACTCCATTGGGTCGGCGTTGTCGTCCAGGGGGCTCACACTCATTTTCACGCTGGCTGGCGACAGTGAGTGCTCAGCACCCACGCATTCTAAAGAGAGCGCTAGACACATCGACTGGCCAAAAGCAGTTCTGAAAATCCTTACTCCGTCTTGTATTTGTCTGTGAAAACGAAATATTGGAGAGTTGAGATGACGGACCCTCCATATGTTTTCCATTGTCACATAGATAATAAGAAAAAAGCCACTATTTAGCCCAGGCATGGGTTATGCTGAAATGTATGCTCTTCCCACCACCCCACCCTGATTCCTGGAAAAGGTTTGTAAATAAACCAAGAATCTGTCAGTGCAAAAGTAGGACTGAAAAATTTTAAGAAAATGCCAGGACCAGATTCTTATGCTACAGATGGATTTCTATGGAATAATACTTTAGGAGAAACTAGAGACTTTTAGTTGAGCACAGAATATCTGAATCTTATAGGGTTTATTTCTTCATTTGTAGTTCTAAATATAGCATCTCTGAAATTTTCCTCGGAGAGAGCCATAGATTGCACCAGATTCCAAAGGATTTATATGACACAAAAAAAACACTTAAATAATTTATATGTTAAGCGATCAGATGTGTAAGGCAAAGGCAGTCAGAAGTAGAAACCAGAGAGTATGCTAACAGAAAAGGAGGCAGGCAAATAGAAAGAAAAAAAAAAAGGAAAAGGAGCAGAGAAGATTAAAGCAGTTCTTGCCAACTTTCTCCACCTTTCCCTCACTTTTCTTTGTCCAATACTTTTGTTAGCTGCAGAGGAATGAATGCTGGCCTTGAGATGCATTTACCTAATACCAAGAGTTGCAAAAAAAAAAAAATGACAAGGTCCTTTTTTCCTCTATCTTACAGACCTGGGGATAGGGCTGGGAGGTTAGAAAGGGCACCTCTACCCTTGGAGAGTACAAGTTGGCATCATTTTTATGACCGATCTTGAGTTAAAATATCAGCAGATATGGCTGAATGGAGCCACAACCAGAGTTGAGTAAGGTGATCAGAAATCAAAAAGGGGTTCTGACTCAACAATAAACAAGGTAGCAAGCTAAATATACTATAGTATATATAGTTATATAGTAATTACAGTACATACGCATTTTGAATTTAAGGGAAATGTGAGGTTTCCTGTCATACTTAATGGTAAGGATATGAATAAGCAAAAAGCAAATTATCAATCTAAGTAGCAGAGTGAGTTCTATGTTCTTTCTTCAGGTCAACCACTGACTGTCTCATTTCACTTCATTTACTTTTTCCAAGTCATTAAGTGTGTTAAATTCCTTCTTTTACCCACAGAAGGTTTTTTCTCTCATTTGCACACATTTAAATTGTTGTGCAAGTGGTAAAATTGGTAAATGGTAAAATTAGTAACTGAGATAGAATTTGACTTTTGGAGGTCAGTATTCTAGACAGCTCAGATCTATAGAACTGGAGACTACTTACTGTAACAATTTTAAGTGAACCCAAGGCATTCAGATGCACTTAGGCATGAACAAGAAATAAAGGGTTTAGTAGTATTAGTTTGAATGAGACTACTTTATGTAGTTCATGTCACACATCCATGGAAGGCTGACAGTGGTTTTGCTCCAGAGACCACCAGAAACTCAAGCTGACATTAGCTCCTTTATTTTGTGACACTGTCGTCTCAGCATGTGGTTCCAAGGGCACAGTGTGAATGACCCAACTAAATCCTATGCACAGCCCAGTGGTCAGAATTAGTCACATCATTCCAAGCTAACAATAAAAACCTATGATGAAGAAGAGTAACAGGTATGGTGATTCTTGTCATCTCTAATGTAGTATGTTTTTGGATTTTTGTGGATTGTGTCACTGCTACCATCAATTTAGAAACACGATTAAAGGACTTTTATAAAAAATCCTGATAGGAAGGAAGTTGCAGTGTCATCTTATGCAGAGTCGAGCTTTGATGTAAGAATTCTCATAAGTTAAAGAAGGTTTCAAATTCTAATGAGTACCAGAGCATTAGAGAGTTCAACAAAATTCAGTTTCCTGGTGCCTGTACCCTAGAGATTTTAACCCAATAAACTCTAGGTGCAGGAATTTGAGTTTTAAGAAACATTTTTGAAGATTTATGTATAGGTGATCTTCAGGGTTCAATAAACACGAGCTTGTTGGTTTCTGCCTTCTGGCCATATACATCAGGGTTTCAGCATGTGTGAGAGACTGTGAGTGTGAGGTCTCCCTTTGAGGAAGGAATAGGGTGTTAAGAAGCAGATGGCTGGTACTTCTCTCATTGATCCTCACAGACAAAAGCCTTGGTAGCTATGGATCCCAAAACTTCAGAGGTGTGTGGAGAAAAACAGCTGAAAACGAAAGAGAGAAAGAAGGAGTTCACTGTGAGAAGCTTGAAAAATGCAGAAGAGTGGGAATAGGGATAATGAACACCCCTAGAAAACCAACCCTGTTACTGGATAGAGGGATGCATTTATCTGGGTCAGCATATGGTCTGGTGGAAAGAGAAGGTGCTGGAAGTGCTGCACGACATGGCAGACAGTCTGGAATGAGACAACATCTGAAATGTTCCACTGGGGCTCTTTTTTTCTCACCGTGAGACCAAGCATCACTTGTAGGACATACTGAAGGGAGAGTCCAGCAGCAATGGTCTCTGAGGAGCCAGTCCCTGCACACAGGGCAAGCTAGGTGGAGGACAGTGCCCTTGGTGACTCCAGGCAAGGCATTCAGATTGCCTGGCTGGGTTCCAACCCCAGTTTTGATCAGCCAGAAAAGGGAGACAAACTGAAACCTATAGACACACCACCATCCACGGGACAGCATAGGTTCTCTGTCCATTGGACTGGGCCTCTAGTCAAGGGTCTCCACAAAGTCAAAATTGAGTATGAAAATAGTTCCAGCTTTGATAGAACCACTCTCCTCCCCACTCTGCAGGTCTTTGGGACCAACACATACAAATGATGCTGATCCAAAGCTCCAGCTCACTCACGTTCACAGGGAAGATGCAAATTGTACTCAGGTGAATGGGGAGATTAGCAAAAAGACCACGTGGATATCATTTGGGGATAGTAGCAGGTCTGTGTAGAACTGCCACCTATTTCAAAATAACTAAGGAAGAAGGAACCCAACCTGGGGTCTGTGCAAAATTCTGCCCCCTAAAAAAGAAAGAAAGATGAGGAAGCTCAAAGTGCATAGGAAAAAGAGCTTACTTTGGAAAAAAAAATAATCAGAAAATGGCTTCTACTCTTAAGTAAATTATAAAGAAATGTGATCATAATAACAGATTGGAGAGGACTTCAAATCTCCTAGAGACCCAGGACTTAACGTACACAGTAATTGGAAGACCCCTCATTGCCTCCCTTTAGGAAGGGGCTAAGTACATTTCATAGAGCTGTGAATATTGTTTTAAAAGATACAGTGGAAAGGGGACAGTCATGTTGGATAGGCAGAGAAGCTGCTTATCTAACCGCACATCCTCCTTCCCTCTTTCCTGACAGAATCCTTCAGGGTCCAGGGGCTCCT